CAAGCTATAGATTGCAACGTGAGAGGCTGTCCACTGTGTGTGATCGCCACGCCCTGTTACCTGGGCGCTTCCAGTTGAACGTTGCGCAAACAAACCGACGACGGCAACCTCTTGTCTTATATCACTACGGACTTTACACCTATCGCACTGGTCACACAGACGAGTACACGTACATCACCACGACTTTTCTGACCCACCAGGAACACCTCTGTCCAGTAAAAGACCCTTTTGTTTTCATAAAAGATAAAAGGACGAAGCTTCCACCGTTTCCCTTTCGGAATGCGCCACCCATTTCAGATTTATTCAGAATCGCTAATGGCTTATTTCCCGACCTCTCCAGGCACCGAAGAAAGCGAAGGCCGAAACGTCAGCCTTATAGAGTTTGAATGTCTGGAAGGCCCCATCAAAACTTCGTGCTGATCATTCATGCCACAATCAAAAGAGGGTCGCATGTGGGCCCCCTGGCCCTACTTTACCAGCCCCTGCAATGCGGGACGCTTGTTTAGCCTTGGCAGGAGCTTATCGGAGAAGTGATCTCTGTACTGCGCGGCGCTAGGTAAAGAGGCTGCTTGTCACCAACGGACATCAAGAAAAACAAGGAGCTTTTCGGCCGAAATCTCTCATTCTACGCATCGTTACGTTTGAATGGAAAACGCATCGACATTCATCCATTGCTCCCAGGGGGGGGGTGGGGAAGGAGAGTCTATAAAATTGCTTCTCTACTTAGTTTTCATGATCCAGTCATGCCAAATAGGGCCGCATTTGAGACTTAATGAAGAGCCACTGCAAAATTATAAGAAAGACCCCTGCAGCACGCGAACTGCTAAAGACCTTTTAGAAGGTGCCGTGTAAGAAAAACAATGCTCACAGCACTCCACCCTCCTCTCCATCCCCTCATTACACCCCCCCCCTCTCACTCACCCATCTAAAAATTCCAATGTGAGATGAAAGGCGAAGTCCACATAGGTCGTAACGAGAGGAGGAACTACTGCACCTCCATCACTGGTGCGCTTCTCGGGGTTGCGTCTGTGAAGAGTCGCACTTTTATAAGGAAGTTCTTTGTCTCCGCCATCCATACGACCAACATAATGGATCGCGCCTTGGTGCAGGAGATCCATGAGGAAAAAATCTAAGGATACCGTATTTGTCAGAGTAGTTGGCACTTTTACGCCCCCACCCGGTTCAAGCAATGTGTACGGTGAGCTGAAACCTCTTGATGGACACACGCAGTCACGAGTTGCAACTCCTCCGTGGACAGCTAGACTTCTCTCGCCCTAGTTTCAGTTACTTTGATTGGTTTCTCAAAAGTTAGAGAAAGTCAAGTCAATGCAGGATCATCCGTGAGCTGGGATTCCTCAGCTGGGTCGTGTTGCAGAAGAGAGGGGTCATGTATGAGCAGGGGTGCCGTTCGGCTTGGAGGGGACACTTTGCACTTTCGTTAGTTCCTTTTGGTAGTTCATGTTGAATAAGTGGTATCACCTTGGTGAGCCCTGTAAACTCCTGTGAAGCTGCGAAATGGGGCGAGTTAGCCACGATGGTCACTGAAATTTAGAGTTCTTTACGAGGAAGGCTCTACAAGCTCAGCTGTCACCATTCGAACTGTTTCCAGTTCCTGGTGGAAAACGGATATCTCAAAGATTTCCGTCAGGCTTTCATACCCATGTAATCTCCAAAAGCCTGTTCTGGCCGCCGTTTTTGCACCGCGTTAACCACGAATGGGATTGTGGTGACCAAACTTTGACCAATCTATGAGATCGCTCTTTCCAGTGTGCGACGAAGCGGAACAGCCGCTTATTTCTCGCTTCGATTACACTGCGCTCCGAACGTTGCGTTACATTTCGTGGGTTGCGAGAGCACAGCTTAACAATGGTGGTCACTACTAGGTTATTACGAATTTCAACGGGAAATCCAGCCGGGGAACGTAACAGGAAAGGTGACGGATCCAAAATTGGCAGATATCATTTGCGGGACCGCCCTTTCCCACTTGGCATACAGGCAGCCAGTACTCCTTGTCAGAGAGACGGCCAACTTGATCACCAGGCCCAGTGAATAAATGACTGGGATCTCGGCGCTATATAAGTCCCGAAGATACAGTATCGAAATGGGTGAAATGACGGTATCAACCAACA